CAGGTTATCAGTTGTTCAGGCAGTCTTTTGAGATTCTGAATCGCAACTGGGGCGAGTTTGGTGGGCCTTCTTGTTGGATCTGGATCTGTTTTGAGCAGAATTTCGCACTCCACAAACAAAATTCCCCTCCAGTTCTCGCAGGTTATCAGTTGTTCGGGCAGTCTTTCGAGATGCTGAATTGCAACTGGGGCGAGTTTGGTGGGCCTTCTTGTTGGATCTGGATCTGTTTTGAGCAGATAGTCTTTCGAGATGCTGCATCGCAACTGCGGCCAGCTTCGCGGGCCTTCTTGTTGGATCTGCATATCTCTTTTGCGCACAGTTTCGCGATCTGCAGAGATGGACTCAATGACTAGTGCCATCAAAACCTGAGGTTAGCTATGAGACCCCGGGTTTTTCCTTAAGCACCTTGGTCGGACCCCAACTTGCGTCTAACCTCATACGTGATCCTGTATTTTTTTCAGTCTCTCTTTCTCGCAACCTCCTAAAGTTCGGATCTCGGCGAACTTCCTGTGCCGACTATCTATTGAACAGATAGTGGTCTTCCTGATCCCCCGTGAACTGCAAGAACGGCCCGCGTCTGCCCTAATCCAGACGTCTCGTTCTGCCTGACCAGGAACCCATAAAATGTTATCCCGGCTGCTGCGTTCGAACTTGGCTTCATCTAGTGCCAAACTGCGAATATCGCCAAATCGGACAGCAGAAGTTCGGACTCAAACGGACTTCTCCTTCTCAACCAGACTTTCATGTCAGTGTCACCTTTCCGGTTCCTGGTTGAGTTTAACAACCACAAACTTATGGATCGCGTGTCTCTGACGTCGTCTCTGCCTGTCCCATCGTGCTGAAGTTCAGATCACGACAAACTTCATGTTTCGGGATGTGCGTCGGTTTGTCTTTGGTCTTTATGGTGCCCGGTGGATCGCACAAACCACCCGGCAACAGGGAGAGTCCGAGTCCGACTTCTCGTTTTGCTCATTTGCAGTTGCGGAGTGTGTTTGCTCGAGCACGGTTCTGGAACGTTGGCAGCATGGGCTGACTCTCTCTCTCTCTCTCACACCCTCTTTTAGTACGGATCCCGGCGAACTTCGCGTGCTGGCCTGTCCGAGTTTCGAGTGCTAAGCGGAGGACACTACCCCATCCAGCGCCAGCTTCGAACATGACCGCCTGCTGATTCCCGCGGGAAATGCAGACATTCAAATTCCGCCGGCATCCGTGCTTCGAAAATCCCGATGTGGTTGTCGCCCGGCCGCATGACATGTGTCCCCTTATAAAGATTGTTCGCGTTGCAGGTAGGAGGTTATTAAAGGTCTTCTTGTTCGAAGTTCGCCGGGATCCGAACTTCGAGGTCTTCGAACGGCGTGATGTGACAGACGTGTTGAGCGAAATGTTTGCCGCCTGTGTTTTTGATGCTTCGTTGCCGCCTGCGTTGTGGTTTGCTTCTTTTTCGTTGTCGTCTACAGACACGATGTCTTTGTCGAGGGCCGAGGGGGAGCCTGCCGCGACCTCCTGGATGGGATCAGGGAAAGATTCCACAAAACGTTCGTCTACGACCTCGAAATCATGGTCGGACCACACAAGGTCGAAATGATTCGTCGACTGGTGTTGTGGGGATGCTTCAAACCCACTTGAACAACCGTGTGGTCCTGTGATCTTCGTCGAAGCCAACAAGCGCCGTTGGGTTCTGGGGGCTGTCTTGCGGTGGGAGGATGCGAAAGGCGTCGACGGTTCCATATGAAAAATGTTTACAGTGCGAGGGGGAACGTCATCACCAATGCCAAGGGGGCGCTTCTCGGCATGGATTTGTTCGAGAGGTTCGGAGCGGGTGCTGCGAACACCCCATTCTACAACGACCTCCGGCGGCAGGGCGGGTTTGTTTTGGGTCGAGAGTTCTTTAACTTGTTGGAGGCGACGGAGGTCGCCCTCGACGTCCCTTGCGAAGTCGGGAGCTGTCAATGCCCTTGCAGCTGTGAGGCGATTGTGAGTCCAGCGGGGCTGCGGGCGAGGGGGGAGATCTGGGTTCCGGTGAGGCTACACAGCTGCAGCGGGAGGAGAGCGGAGGTCAATTTGACGATAGCGAAGATGAGGCGCCACCGCGTCTGCCGTTTTCGCCGTTGAGCAGACGAGACCGGTCTGTGTTGTCCATACCTAGTGTCCGGCAAGAGACCCCGGTTCGACAAGAGGTCGCATCGGACCCCGGGAAAGAGGCAGTACAGTGTGGGCTCGACTTGGAGCCTACCGAGGGCCATGGCACGGACGACGAGGTCGTGGACGGGAAGGGAACGCAGGGCACTCCCCAAAAAAGGAGGGGAGATCGTCAAGAGGACTTGATAGGTTCTTCGAAGAAACAGAAGATCAAGACCCCGAACACTACGGGGGAGAAACGGCAGGGAAGGGGGGTGGAAGAGGACCGCCCGGGTAGCAAACGTCCGGCTTCGAAACAGAAGCAGCCTGCGTCGGGACCTTCTACGCCAAGGTCTGCCATCGACGTGGACGCCGCGTACTTCCTGGAGTACAAAGACGGCGTAAGGACAAGGCGGGAGTTTGAGATTGGCCCAGCTCAGGTCGTCGACCTCGGGGAGTGGGAGGATCTGTACAACCAGCGGTCCCTGGATCCCGTCCTGGTTGAGGGGATCAAAGAAGCGATGCGGTGAGCGTTCCAAAATAAAGAACAGACGTTCAAGTTGCCAACCCTCAAACTCGCACCACTAGGGTTTCAAAAACCAACTCCCGGGCCCAGGGCACAACGTCTGAAGCCGGAGGAGTGGAAGGACGAGCTGGCGGGAGAATACTACTACTACGCGGTGTGTGGGTAGCATAACGCGGCTGCAGCCCGATCGCTCCTCGGCAGCGAGGTGGCCAAGAGGTACAATTTCGAGCGATGGCCGGTTAGAATGGTGTACTTTTCGGACGATAACTTCGAAGGGTATTTTCTTGTTAGTTCACAGGATAACAAGAAGGGCCTCAAGGCGCCTCCCAGACAGTTCAAACTGTCTATGAAAGACATTCGGTGCCAGTGGAAGCATGATGGCTGCCCGAGAGCTGTGATGGGGAACCCTAGTGGGAAACAAGACCAGGTCCGGGATTGGCATAAGTTCTGTACAACGACGCTCCATAAGGCACCGCACAACAGCTTGTGGATTCTCGCGGATCAAAAGGAAGAGGAGGCCATTAAGAAGCAAAATGCTGCCCTGCGTTCTTATTTCCCTCTCGCGATGGTCGGAGAAAATGTCTGGAAACTGGCCGTGGAATTTTTCGAAAAATGGGAGACGGGAAGATTGCTGAGCCACGACGGAGCAAAGTGGATCATGAAGAGGAAGAAGGTCAAAAACGTCAAGCCTGGGGTCGCCTACGTCAACAACGACAAGTTGGGCAGAAAGGAGGTGGTGTACAACGTCCCCGTGGAGCCGCCTACTAAGAAACTTTAAGGCAAAAAGGAGATGAGGAGGGTGATTGGTTCGTGCAAGTGTCGGACCCGGACGCGCATTGCTAGAAAGCGATGGAATCACTCACCGACAATGAGAAGTGTCGCGTTCTGAAGAAGGTGCTTGCTTGCGAGGTCGTTTGGGTCCAGGTCGGATCCCCGTCGTTGGCGAAGTTGGTGAAGCTCAGCATGCAGGACATGGTGCAGTTGGTGAAGTGCGATCACGTGCTGGTCCGGTTGTGGAATTACTACCAATTCGAACACTAGAGGAGACTGGGCGCGGATTGGATCCAAAAGTACCCTTTCCTGAAATCGAGGTTTGTCGTGTTCAAGAAGTTTGAAGGTCAGGGATTGGATGACGATTTGTGGGATAATAGCAGGAAACACGTTTCCGACTCAGCGCTGTTCAAGGACTGCCTGCCATACATGGGTTGTGACCAAGACAACTCGATTGAGGTGACGGAGAAGTTGGCGGGCCACAAGAAGTTGTCCATCGACTGGAGAAACAAGGTTCTCTCCGTGTTGAATGAGAACAGACTAAAGAGCCGGGAAATTGCACTTGCCGAAGGCATTGTTCACATCAAATGGAAAGACACGAGGGACGTGACATCCATCGCGCCGTTCGGTAACGACCCTTTGCAGGCGGAAGTCAGGGGCATAGAGCTGAAGGAAGCAGTGGCTGCTACAAAGAGCCACACATTTGTCCTTGATCTGTGCGAGCCGGTTGACCTCAAACTGTGGAAACCCCAAGCGTGGGAGAATTTGAATTCGTATCTTCAGACGTTGTGTCCGTTGCATTGGACTCTCGTTGTTTTCGTGCCGCGGCAGCACACAACCTCTCGTTTCTCGCCAGTATGCACCATCTTTCTTCCGTTAAGCTGTTGGAAGGGAAGTGGGTGCGGAGAAGTCACAAAAAGAAAACCTTCCCCGTTGGGAACAATTTGTATACGGAGGACGACCGCATGTACATCCTCTTCAAGGGTCACAATCTGCGCGTCAACACGTCGGACTCCGTGGTCTACGAGGAAAAGCTGCCCAAGGGTGCCGCTGCTGCGGTGCAGTTGCCTCAGAGGGTCACCCAGACGGATGTGTCTGAGACTCCCTTCATTCCGTGCGACTGGTCGCTGGTGGCGCCGGAACGACAGGGCAGTGTCTACGAGGATATGGAACGTAATCCGACACAATTCGTCGGTCTTCTAGATTTCCTCAGCAAGAAGGGAGAGGGTGTCGTGTTCCTTTGGAAACCACACGCGCGAAGCGTCTTGGATCTTTTGAAGGCTGGCCGGCACGTTGTCGCGATGGAAGGGAACTCCGACCTCTTGCAATTCACATTGCAGGTGGTGAAAAGCGAGGTCAATTCGGGCGGGCACAATTGTGAGTTCATGGTCGTGAAGCCGACACGGAATCGGGTGTGGAGCAACAAAACGGACATGTGGTTCAAGTTGAGCAAGAGGAAGAGGAAGAAGATATACGATTTCTTGTTCCTTCAAACACGGCCGAGGAAGGACACTTACGCTGAGTACGTCCGCCGTAAGGACCACATGTTGGCACTGCTCGACAACTACCACTTCGCCTCCCGCATGAATGCGAAGACGTTTCTCGAAAGGCTACAGTCGCTGTACTTCGTGGAGTCCGAGAAGCAGTTGAAGTAAGCCAGTTACGCTTCCTTGATCTCCACTGATGATGAGGAAGCCATAGGTGTGGAGTTCGTCGCCAATGCGAAGGAGGAGGAGAGCGACACCGAGACCCTTGACCTGCAGTATGACCCACCTCCGGCGACCACGCCCGAGGGTCCTCGTCGGCCGGTCCGTCACCAAGCGCTGCAGCCCTCGTGTCACCGACTGCCAGACCAGTGATGGGCATCACGCCGATGAAAATGCAAGAGAGACTCAGAGCTCTGGCCGTTCCCCCACCCGCTTTGTGTCTCAGGTCTGACATCCCGCCCGATCATCCGTCTTGGAAGGATGACCACATCCACTTCCTGCTTGAGCCAAACGTCTTTTGCCTGAGGTGGACTGGGGCCATGACATGATTTGGCATCCGGGAGTCATCCAGCCAGCGATACGAAAGTGCGGATGGGTCATGGCCGTCGCAATCCCGGGCGCGGGATGGGTGTCATTCCCGTGCGAGTCGAAGTCCAACTTTCTGCACCTCGAGAGGATTTCGGTCCTCCAAAAAGTGACGGTCGAAAATGACACATTTGCACCCGGCAACCTGTCCGTCATTTCCGCAGCCGGTCGACTGTTCGACGAGCTTCAGGACAAGTGCTGGTTGGAATTGACGGAGGACTACGACGAGCTCGACACGAGCCCGTCGAAGGGCATGGTGGACTGGAAAGTGCCCCCTCCTAGTGGGCCGGACGACAGTTCCGGGGGGGGGTCAACTGGAGGTGGAGGGGACGGGGGTGGGGGTGGGGGGGGTGGCAAAAGAATCCCGCCTAGTGGGGAGGGAGGATCTCACGGCCTCAACACGACATTGGGAGGCAGCGGCGGGGTGGCAGGTTTCGCCGTCGACCGGCCTCCGTCGATAGGCACCTGCCTGGAGCGTACAACACAGTCCGCCGACCTCCCGACTTCGTCCGTGGGCTCAACGAGGGAGACGTTGGCAGCCTCGGTTGCTCTCGGCAGCCGCTCCGACGGAAAGTTGAAGTCCGCCGGGATCCGAACTACGTCGGGTGAGGAGCCGCCAGAGCGGTCCGGACTGCAAAGCCGCTCGGGGTCGGGGGAGCCGAGCCAGGATCCCGAAATTGGCAGCATTGCGGCGAGGGACGGAAAGGTGTCGCCTGAGCGGGAGCGACGGCCGCAAGGATTGCAGCGAGAGGCTGCAAGTACAGGGTCCGGCGACACGGAGATGACAAAGTCCGCCGAGATCCGAACTTCTTCGGGCGGGGGGTGTCGGCCAGGGATTGTCGTGCCGTCGAGAGGAGCAGCATGCACGGAGACGGAAGGGCGGTCGTCGGGGTTCAACACGGGTACCGCGGAAGGGGATGAGTTTCGTGGAAAGGAAGTAGGGGAGGAAATGGAGGAAGGGAAGGAAGTGCAAGAAGGGGAGGAAGAAGGGGAAGAAGAGGAGGAAGGGGAGGAAGGGGAGGAAGGGGAGGAAGCGGGAGAAACAGAGCTACTTCGATTGCTTGAAGGAAGGGAGGGTGCCGGATCTGGAGACGACGAAGTGGAGCACAGTGAGGACGATGCCGGATCTGGAGAGTCGTCTGACAAGTTCGGACAACTGTACGGAGAGCATCACGAGGATGATGTCGACGATGATGCCACGACAATGGAGATGGAAACACAGGTGGTTAGCAGCCTTTCCGCAGAACCTGAAGATTATGCGGTCCGACCACTGACGTTTGTTGTCGACTTGCAACACCGGTTCGACGAGGCTTCCATTGCTATTAGCCCGTCTAAAACAAGTCGTCGTATAAGCATTGACGAAGTTATCGACGGTATCCTCGACAACCATTAAATGTCTGCCCATCCATCCACAATGCGTGACGTCGACGACGCTGGCAACGTCGCATCGTCCATGACAGCTGCCCTCGCTTCGTCACCGCCGAAGTCTTCGGTACTGCCGGCCACCCTTGTCGCCGGAGGGGAAGGCGAGGTCAGGGGACGACAACATGTCACGTCCCCAAAAAAATCCAGGGTCGGCAGTCAAGCTCTCGACGTGCTCGCTTTGCCCGCGCCAAATTCCCCGTCGAAGGAGTGGAGAGAGAAACAGACTGGTAAGCCATGAAGAACGCCACACTGCCTGCGCATCCTGGATTACCGAAACGAGAGAAGGGATTTCGTCGTAGTCCGGATGTCGGCGGACTACAGTTCGCTCTATACACTCGACGACTGTCCACACTGTCTGCCGATACGGGAAGTTTCGGATGCCGGCATACTACAACCACCAGCCCTTCCAAATACATCTCATCGGCTTATCTGTGAGTCAGCCGGGTTGCTGGCCGAGGGCAGCGTAAACTTCATAGAAAACCTTACACTCCATCTGAGAAAGGATCTGCCCCGGCTAAGAAAGTGGCCAAGAGGCTAAGAAAGTGGCCAATTAGATGGACTGACGGTTTTCCCTTCTCGAAAATAGTGTCGGTTTTTGTCCGTCGGTATCAGAACTGCTTATGTCGATGCGTAATGTGGTCAGTCTCTGTGGGGCTGGTGTATTGAAAAGTCCGCTGCAGTCCGAACTTCGAGGATTGCTGGCCTTCGGCTTCTGTGAGTTGTGATGATTTTCCTTTGTGAAGTGCGGGGGTGTTGAGCTCGAAGGTTGCAGTCGTTTTGTTTTCCAGTCGCACACAAGCACCTAGGTGCATATGACCACGCGAAATTAGGGTCCTATTGTCGGAGAGGTCCTGCTTGACTGTCGCGTCTGTGCGATTGTATGGTTCTCACATTGTCACTTTCGTCACATTCGTGTTGGGAAACGTGTATTCATTTTCCGTTCTGTCTTTCTTCTGTTGTACAGGGATGGGGTCATCTCGAACACGGAGGTCCTCAAAATATCCAGAACACATATTGCAGAAAGTCCCCGGGTTAACTACAAAACACCAGGATATGTTAAAGGCATCAGGGGTTGATGTCGAGATCGGGAAGAATGAGTACACCATTGCCATTGACGAATGTCTTTCCCTTCTTGCCCCAGAGAAAGGGACATATCCACGATCTGTGAGTAGGGGTCCGGCCATGTATGGGAAGTACTAAGCAACGCGTCATGCACTAGGGGAAAATGCCTAGAACTCCGTTTCTCACTACCCCACCTGTCCTTTGCTCGATGTTGTGCATTGCGGGCCACAGGTGCAGCACGCGGGAAAAGGTTCGCTGCAGCGATTGCGCCTCTGAGCTTGCGGGTTTCGGACGGCATTATACGAGGCTCGGTGCCACCTCACACTGTTCTCTCTATACTGGCCAATGGTCAATTTCGGATTGCAGCAAAAGATCTCCTCACCCTCTTGCATATCGACGGCAGGGTGAATGATGAAGTGGTCAATTTCTATTTGGCGTTGTTGGGGTCAACCGCATGTGGGTCACATGACATCTCGTCAGGCCTTCAAGTCTTCAACTTTAATTCGTTCTTCTTCAGTAAACTGCAACTTCAAGGACACAGTGGGGTGCAGAGGTGGGCTAAAAACGTAGATTTGCTTCATTACGATATTATCTTCGTTCCTGTCCACAAAGATGATGATCACTGGATCCTCCTTTCCATCAACATGAGAGATGACGTTCTCGAAATTTTTTATTCTTTTCCTCGCATTGTAGCTAATTCAAGTTTTTACATTAGTGTTTTTGGGTTGATTGTGCAGTATTTGGAACGTCAAACATCGCATAGGCGGTCGGGTAGGAATTGGAAGTCGATAGTGGGAAATGTTGTGGTGGATAGAGTTCGGAGACAAGTGGATGAAGCTGGCTGCGGGGTGTTCATGTTTATGTATGCGACGTTGTTGCAACGTGGAGATCGACCGCCTTTCTGGTTCTCTTGTAAAGATATTCCGCTTCTTAGACGACAATTAGCATCATGTATCTTAGAACATCGTTGTCTTTGATGGATTTGATTGACTTTGAAACTTTTTTTCAAGGTGTTTCATTCGTTGTTCATTACATTTTGTAAATCGAGGTATTATTCAACTGTCCTCCTGACAACGACATTGCTTTCTTTTCTCGTTCGGACAACGACATTGCTTTCTTTTATCGTTTCGAGTTTGAGTTGTCTTCGGCAAGCTCATTGCATGTCCGGCGTCATGTATAGACTTCGTAATCTCTGTCACGTCGCAGTTGTTTCTCATGCAGTGGAACATATCATACATTATGTTCCATGTTTTAAATCTTTTCAACTAGGAGTATTGTGTTCCATGTTTCAAATTTTATTCAACTAGAAGTGTACACATGATTGTGAAATTGGTCAGTGGATGCATGAGAAATGTCATCTTATGTGTGATAAATCTCATTGTTTTGGATGCATTATAAATTGGTCAGTAGATGCATTAATAAATGTAAGGACCAGTTGCTTCATGTCTCTTGCGTGGGCATAGAATCACATGCCTTGTGACCACGTGTATTACATGTAACCAACAACCTTGCGTCCGTGCCCAAATCTTTTTTGCATGACCATTTAAAGTGCGGATTTTCATCGTGAATAAGCAAAGTTTAAAGTTCTACACGTATCACAACTGTGAACAAGTATGGATCTCGGTGGCCTCATGTCGGGCAAGATGATGAGCGTGCCTATATGCGGAAGTCCGAATCTCTTCAACATCCAAACAACCGTCTCAGGTGAGACGATGGGTGTGCTTGCATAACTTACGAATAACCTAGTAAACGAAAATTTAATATGTTAACCAACGACGGTTCGATCATGACACCTCGCTCATCACATATGTAAGCTTTGAGTTTATTAAGTATGGATCTTAGCACACTTCCGCCCACTGTCAGGCTCACAAGTTTTCTAAACAAGTTCGGATCTCATCATACATCTAAACAACCGTCTTAGGCGAGATGAGGAACCTGCATGTGTAACTTTGGGATAACCGAAAGAATTACACTCTCCAATTCTATCTGATTACATTGTTAATTTTGTTTGCAAAGTTCAACAAGTATGAATGTCAGCAAACTTTCGCATTTAGGGAGAGTGGATGGGCATGCCAACGTGGAAACACTGCAGTCAAAAATGAATTCGTAAGAAAGAGGACAGTGTCACAATATAACGTCTTTCATCACATTTATGAAATTGAAGTTCGACAAGTAAGGATCCCAGCACTCTTCCGCGCATGGTTCCCTGTTTGGCATGCCAATCGTTATTTGTTTATGAAGTTTGACTAGTATGAATCCCAACACACTTCCCCACAGGATCTTGATAGGTTGATTGATTGATTGATTGATTGATTGATTCACACACACACACACACACACACACACACACACACACACACACACACACACACACACACACA